CCTTGAGGACCAGCCCCAGCTTTTCTACCCTCACCTTCTGAATCCCTCTACCCTCAGCCTGTTACTCTAGCCACTCTCTCCATTCCCAGATGAACTGCGCTCTCACATATGTCCAGGATTTGCAAGTGCTATTGCCTTGCAAACAGCGTTTCCACACCACCATCCGCCCAATGCATGCAACTAAACTATTTTTAATTTGTCAGAGGTGCATGCCCTCATTGGTTGGGTGGTGGAGGTGTGGGGCATGGAGACAAAGAGAAAAAGAAAGCAAATAAGTATCTCCTATGGGTTTGGTCACGCCACAATCCCTTCTCCTCTTTTTCTCCCTCTTTTCAGAATTTTGGGCAAACACACAGGCACCCAATGTTTCTGAAGCTCCCAGGTCCAGGAGTTGAACCACACAGTTGGCCATGTGGGATCTAGCTGCCTCACCACCACACCACCATCTGGTCCAAACTAAACTACTTTTAACTCATTCTTTCAAACTGAAGTCTTTCCAAAGCTCCGGCTTAGCATAATATAAGCCTCTCTTATGTACTCAACAGCTTATATTTCCCATCATCATAGTTTTGATTACATTTAGACATTCAGCAACCCAAGGGGAGGACTGTGTCTTTTGTCTGTATCTTCCTTGCTTATTGCAGTCCCTTCTACCACAAAGGGTGTTCAACAGGATTAGTTGAGAGAGTAACTGACTAATCAAGGATGCACATCAGGATATGAAGTAACATAGCAACATCTCTTTTATCTTCTTTCTTTCTTTCTTTTTAAGTTTTTTGCAATACGGCACATGTACTCACCAGCAAAACAAATACAGTGAGAGGGAAAGCGAGAAATCAACCCCCAAGGATCACGCCACAATCCTTTCTCCTCTACTCTCCTCCTGGGATTCTGAGCACATATGCACATGTGCCTGGCATGATTCTCAAGCTGCCAGGTCCTGCCAGGTCCAGGACTACAATCGCAATTGGTCATATGGGAGTCCAGCATCTTAACCACTACACCAACTACTGGCCCTTTGGGGGGCTGCGCACCAGCAAGTCTGCCGAGGTCATTAGGTTCCGGTTTCTCAGAAAGCAAACAATTACACAATGCCAAAAGTCATGATTGCCTCCCCTTCAAAAACCTCACCTTCAAAACCATACTCTGATTGGCCACTAGAATCCCTCAGATTTGCATATCCAGCACCTCATGATTGGTCCACAAAGCAACAAATCATAACCCACCTTTTACAACCAATCATAACCCACCTTTTACAACCAATCATGGCCCACCAGCATGTATATAATGACGATCCCTGGCCCACAATCACACAGACGACCCGGAAGACCCTGAAGAGTTGTAACACCACATCATCTCTGGAAGACCCTGAAGAGTTGTAACACTGCATCGTCTCCAGATGACCCTGAAGACACTGTGTCATCTCGGTGTTGTAACACTGCGTGCATCATCTCCGCACCGCTCCACCTGTCTCTCACTCCTTCCCTCAGGAAACCTGTTCGACTGTCCCCCGGGTCGGGACATGGCCCCTCTTTTTCTCTTTTTTTAATAATTATTTTATTTTATTTTATTTTATTTTATTTTACTATTATTATTATTTAATTTGACCAGTGAGAGACAGAGAGAAAGAGGGAACATGAGAAAGCAAGCCGCCAGGTCCAGGACGCAAACCACGGTGAGCCATGTGGAAGTCCAGCGCCTTAGCCACCACACCACCTGCCGGCTCCCTTTTTTCTTCTTTAAATCATTCTTTCCTTTGATTCATGTAATCAACAAACTCATAATTGGGTATCATTACCAGCCTTTTTTGTAAAATCAGGAAAAAAAACAAAACTTTTTTCTTCAGGTTTGCAAAGAGTAAGAGTTGGTGGTCACTTTTAAGCCATGAAAAATGCTAAATTAACATAATTACACCCAAAGCTTTTGTGACATTGGGTTCATCTGTCACAAAGATTACACAAAAACCATAAAATCAGCTTCAGAAATAAAAGTGATGTCCTTTCTTCTTTCCACATACTCCCCCTAGTGTCAAGAACTCTAATTAAGCTAAGAGAATAAAATGAAACCTATTGGATCCAGAGTTTTCTCTTTCTCAATGCTTCATTCACTTGTTTTTAGTTTTGTTTTTTTAATAGGGTTGGCCCCACAGTTTAGAACTTAAAGGAGCCTAGATTCCACATGGTTGACTATGGTTCAAATCCTGGTCCCAGTGACTTGAAGAACATACCGTGTGTTCTTCCCAACAGGATGGAAAGTGGAGGAAGGAGGATTGTGCAATGACCAAGCCCTTTTGGGGTGCTTTTTCTCTTTGACTCTCTCTGGTGAGTGAATATGTTCTCTGGCAATTTTTTTAACAATGGAATTTACATTATCTTATGCCAAGAGCAAAAGACTAACAGACACAAGTTCTTACGCTGAATCCTCTCTCCTTGAAGTCCCCAGAGTTCAGTCATCCCATGCAGTTATGACCATCTTGAGTCCCCAGGCTCCTGGGAATCAGTGGGAAATCATTTGGAAACCTCAAGAAGGTTTTAGCATTCCAAAATCACTACCAGTGAAACTAGAAACCATCAAAGAAATTGGTAAATATCTTTGCCTTCAGTTAGAAAGTCAACAGCTTGGTGCTGGATCAGACTGCTTAGCTCCCACTCACTAACAGCTGTTTATCAAGAGTTAATTGAAAATAGAGGGAACCAGCAGTTAGCGTAATGGCTATGTTGCTGGACTCCCACGTAGTCGACCGCGGTTCCCGTCCCGGATCCAGTGGCTTAAAACTCACACCGGGTGCAAGTGTGTGCGTGCCCAGGATCCTGAGAGGAGAATGGAGGAGAAGGGATTGCGGCGTGACCAGCCCCCCTGGGGGGTGATTTCTCGCTTTCTGTCTCTCTGTCTCTGTCTGTCTGTCTGGCAAGTGCACGCGCCCTGTAGTGAAAACCTCTCAAAAAAAAAAAAAAAAGAAAAATAAGTAATGGATTATACATGTGGATGGTAAAGGGTGTAAAATATGTTCTAATGTGGGGCTCACAGGGTAAAAGATCATTAAATGAGTTCTTCACACTAGAAAAACCAAGATCCACATCCCTGAGGAAGTAGCTCTCAAAACCAGGTCACCTCATAACACATTGGGAGAAGAAATGACTCATTTGCTTTTACTACTGAATGACAAATACTTTCTTGAAAGGAATTCACACTGACTTTTATATATTTTGGCTCAATATTTTTCAAAACCTCCTGCAAATGTACAGTAAGAAATCTAAATTCATGGACTGCCCATAGCCTACTGGTTAAGGGAAGTCAGATCCCATATGACCAACCTCAGTTCAAATTCTGACCCCAGAGGCTTGAAAAACACACCAGGCATGTGTGCACACATGCCCAAAATCCCAAGAGGATGGAGAAATAGAAGAGAAGGGATTGTGGTATGACATGCCCCATGGGAGGGTGCTTTCTCCCCATCTCTGTCTGTTTATCTATCTCTCTCTATCTCCTCTGTACCCCACCCCAACCTCTGGTGAGTGCACATACCTGCTGGTAAATTTTAAAGAGTAATTAATTTAGATCTTCAGCATACCAGTAATAGCAACAACAGAGAACCTGAAAATACACAGGAGCAGGAGGAAGGGTTTCAGGGAGGACTATCTCTTTTAGATGAATACCCTCTGGACTCTCACTCCATCTGCTTCCTGCTTCTCTTCACTGTACTTCCCTGGCCCACGTGGTAGAAGGGGCTGACCTTACTTGCTACAGTTCCAGCCAGTATTGAAGATAATTAATAATCCCTGGTTCTAACTGCCAGTTACGCAAAAGACAACATGGTTGGCCTAGCTGTGGTCAAGTGAACAGTCACACTGTATTTATGTTGGAGGAATAGTTAAACAGTAATATAAATAGCCACCATGTATTAATGTATAAAAAGGTCCACTTTTCCCTAGTAATTACTTAAGTAAAAGTACTGTGGTTCCAGTGAACTGGTCTGTATCCACCACTAGCATCCCTCCCATGGTCACGTGTTTTTCAAGCTGTCGGCCGGTCTTGAACTATGTAGTCAGCCATGTGGGATCCAGCCCCCTTAACCACCCCTGCCATCAGCTGGCTCATTCTTCTTTTAATGTGCCTCCAAGCTTAGGATGGAGCCAACTATGTAGCTGACTCTCACAAAGATTTGAATATGTACAAAAATAAAACCTAGAGGTAACAGTTAAGACCCTTGTGAGAATGACCACTCCACGAAAACCTTACCATTTAAGGATTTACGAAGAACATGCATGTTAGCACATGTGAACACAACTATTGTGCACTGTCATTTTCTGCATTTTCCCATGTGCAGCAAAGTTCGCTGTAACCGAGGTCTCAAAAGGATAAATGGTGAAAATTAGGCCCACCCTAGAAACAAAGATAATTCAGTTTTCTAAAGAGTGGAATTAAAGGGACCAGCAGTTAGCGTAATGGCTATGTCGCTGGACTCCCATGTAGTCCACCAGGATTCCACTCCCAGACCTGGTGGCTTGAACTCATGCCCGGCGCGTGTGTGTGCGTGCCCAAGATCCCGAGAGGAGAATGGAGGAGAAGGGATTGCGGCGTGGCCGTCCCCACTGGGGGGTGATTTCTCGCTTTCTGTCTCTCTGTCTGTCTGTCTGTCTGGCGAGCTCACGCGCCCTATAGCAAAAACCTCTCAAAAAAAAAAGGGGGGGGGGGAATTAAACCAACTAAAATTAGTTGACCCTCCTGTGCGCTAGAGGGCAGACGAGCAGAAAAGAGCTCCTCGCTACACTACCTTTCCCAAAAGGTTTCGGGCCCTGCGCCCCCACCGTCCCCCAGAATGCTCACCGGCCGAGGACTTCAGGTCCCAGATTCCTATGCGGTTGGCTGTGACGCCACCTCCTGCCGACTCAACCATTTAATGGCCGCTGGCTGCCCAGAGCGTGTACCTCATGGCCAGGAATCGGGCGCCAAAAACTTGTCCCACAAGACCCCGCTTCATTAGAGCGGTAACGGTGTGTACGGTGGACCAAGCTGGTAAACTACTGGTCTGTCTGTGAGGAGGCCCAGCTTCGTGGTACCGCGCTTCCAGCCTGAACTGGGCGTGGCGCTTGTGAGGGACCGGAAACTACATTTCCCAGCATTCTTGCGGTGCCCGCCCTACCTCATCCGGAAGCCAGGGCGGAACTCACCCTGCCCTCTGCTTTCTCCCGCCAACCGGAAAACACAACATGGGGCGCCGCTGGGCTTGGCGGCTGCTGCGCTCTGCAGGCAGTTGGGGCCGTTGGGTTTCAACCCCCCGCGGGCGTTTCTCGCTGGCCCTGCGGAGAGGTGAGACAAGGCGTGGTGCCGCTGATGCCGGAGCGCTCTCTAGCGAGGCGATTACCGCGGGAAGTGCCCACTTGGCTGACGCGGCGCGACTGTGCCACGCCCCTCTTCCCCAGCCCGGGCTGGCGCTGGCGCCCTCGTTGCCTGCTCCCTACCCTGCCCCTTGCGACTGTTGCGGAAAGGCGAGTTTGGAAGAGGACTGCTTTGCTCTGCACAAGCGAGCCTCTGAGGGCATGAGATTCCGCCCAGCTTCCTTTTTGAACGCGTTTGTTTTTGTGACATGGGTCTGGGTAAACTCATAGGTCTGTCAGTAAATGAGAGGTGATCTGTGGTTTCGGTGGAAGGTTGCTGATTTATCTAGTGGCTGGGGCAACTTTTTTTTTTTTTTTTTTAAAGAGAGATTTATGGCATAGTGTGCGTGAGAGACGGAGAAACCGAAAGCGAGAAATCTCCCAGGGGGTATGGCCACACTGCCGTCCCTTCTCTATTCTCCTCTTGGGGTTTTGGGCACGCACCGCGCCAGGTGTTTCAAGTGGGCAGTCTGGGACTCGAACCGTAGTCACCTACGTGGGAGTCCAGAGACAACCACTACGTCATCTGCTGGTCTCAGCCTGCTGAAATTTAAACTGTTTGGCGTACAGATGGGTTTAGAGCCCAGGTTTTTGGCAGACTATCATATTCAGGTTACATCTGCATCATTCTTACTATAATTCTCAGTACCTTGCAACCAGTAGCTATTCAAAAAAAAAAAAAAATGAATGCTGGAACTTACAATTGAAGCCAGTTTGCACCTGTCAGCAGTAAGACAGTGTGACCTGAAGAACATCTTTTTATTTATTTATTTATTTATTTTTTTGGAGAGATTTTCGCTATAGGGCGCGTGTGCTCACCAGACAGACAGAGATATAGAGACAGAAAGGAGAAAGCACCCCCCAGGGGGGATGGTCACGCTGCAATCCCTTCTCCATTCTCCTCTCGGGATCTTGGGCACGCACACACACGTGCCCCGCGTGAGAACTAAATCTTTGTTTTGAGAAATGTATGCAGGATTTGTTTGTGATTTTTTTTTTCTTTCAAAATTCAACACTGTCTACAAAGTAGGCATCTCATACCAACTTTAGCACTGTCTGTTCACCTTCCCAAATCTTCAGTGCCAGGTATACTGAGCCATTCAATACTCAGACACATCTCAGTCACTTCCACACTGTTACTTGTGCAATTCTGCTTGTTTATTCATATCAATTGAGTCCCTCCATCTGTACAATTGCAGTTTAGATGCAAGGGTCATTCACAAGGTCTTTGGTTACAAATTTGAGTGTTTGGTTACAAATTTGAGTAGCAACATATGCACTTATGATGAAGTCTCCAAAAAGGCAGCATTTTTTTGAAATCATTCAAATCTCAGCCTATCTTTGTTAATGTTTAGTCATGTTTGTTTTTAGGGGTTTTGGAGAGGTTTTTGCGGTAGGGTGCATGTGCTCGCCAGAAAGACAGAGACAGAAAGCGAGAAATCACCCACCGGGGAGATAGCCATGCCGCAATCCCTTCTCCTCCATTCTCCTCTCAGGATCTTGGGCACGCACGCACAGGTGCCCAGTGTGAGTTTAAGCCACAGGGTCCGGGACTTGAACCACGGTCGACTACATGGGAGTCTAGCGACATAGTCATTATGTCAACTGCTGGTCCCTGTTTCTTAAGTTTTTTAAATTACCAGGGGCAGTGCATGCCTGGCATTTTCTAATTTTTCAAGCTGCCAGACAGGATTTGAACCAGGGTCAGCCATGTGAGAACTGATCCCCTTAGCCATGAGACCACAGGGCCAGCTGGCCCTAGAGATACACTTTGTTTACATGTTCAAATAACAACAACAAAAATTAAACTTTTTTAGAGAACAAAAATTCAAGTACATATAAATGAACTTTGAAATACATATAAAGAAAATATATCACCATAAATGTTAATGACCTAACATATTTGTTGAATTATTCCATGAGTCTGAGCATTCTTTAAGAAAGTTTGTCTCCCTTTGGGAACCAGCACTTAGCGTAATGGCTATGTCACTGGACTCCCACGTAGTCAACCACGGTTCCCGTCCCGGACCCGGTGGCTTAAAACTCATGCCAGGCCTGTGTGCATGCTTGCCCAAGATCCAGAGAGGAGAATGAAGGAGAAGGGATTGTGGTGTGACCATCCCCCCTGGGGGGTGATTTCTGCTTTCTGTCTCTATGTCTCTCTCTGTCTGGCAAGCGCATGCGCCCTATAGCGAAAATCTCTCAAAAAAAAAAAAAGAAAGTTTGTCTCCCCTTAACATATAATAAGTGTTCCTCCTCACTAAACAAATGTTGAATGTTTACTGGGTACAATTAGTTTAAACTTTCCTAAAATTTTCAGTAATCAGTGAATTTGAGAACCTTGGCCTCTTAACCCACAGAAGGACCTTAGTTATCATCTAGTCCAATTCCCTTGTGGAAGATGAATACACATAGGCATAGGAAGGTGAGATTTGTCTTAAGTTTTATGCCCAGTAGTACTAGATTCCCAGTTCTCTGCTACTTCCTAAACAGCAGAACATCAGAAACACTGGAGGTGGTATTAAAAATACTGATTCTTGGTGTCAGTTGATGGCGTAATGGTTCTGTCGCTGGACTTCCATGTAGTCAACCAGTTTGAGTCCCAGACCCAGTGGCTTAAACTCATCTGGCACATATGCATATGTGCCCAAAATCCTGAGGAAACGAGAAGGAATTGTGGCGTGGCCATCCCACCTGGGTGGTGTGGTGGTTAAGGTACTGGATCCCATGTGACTGACCAGATTTCAAGTGCTGGATCCGGCAGCTTGAAAAATACCCCAAGCATGTGCATGCTTGCCCAAAATCCCAAGAAGAGAATGAAGAATGGATTGTGGCGTGGCCATCTCCCCCAGGGGGTGACTTCTCTCTTTCTCTATCTCTGTCTTTCCTGTGAGCACACATGCCCTATGGCAAAAAATCTAAAAGAATAAAAAATACAGATTTGTAGGCTTTATTCTAGAACTGCTGAGTCTGTGTCCAAGGTTAGAGCCCAGAGATATCTGTGTGGGTTTATTATTTATTACACCTGATGCAGTAGTCCTTTATCCATAGGCAATATGAATGCCTGAAACTGCAGATAGTACCAAAATCTACACAATCTTTTTCCTGTACATAATATAACCTATTACAAAGTTTAATTCATAACCTAGGCACAGTAAAAAACACCAATACCTAATAATAAAATAGAATAGTAACAATATACTGTAATAAAATTTATGAGGGGCCAGTAGGTGGCATGGTGGTTAAGACAATGGACTCCCATACAGCCAACTGCAATTTGAGTCCGAGACCTGCAGCTTGCTTTCTCACTTTACCTCTCTGTCTGTCTCTGGTGAATTAAAGAATAATAAGGGGCCGGCAGGTGGCATGGTAGTTAAGAGCACTGGACTCCCACATGGCTGTCTGCAGTTCGGGTTGCAGACCTGATGGCTTGCTTTCTCTTTCTCACTGACCTTCACTGGTCAAATTAAGATAAATAAGTAAATAAATAAATAAACTCATTATTTTAAAAATAATAAGAATAAATAAAATGAATCTTAAAGAATGTATGAAAAATGAAAAGTTATGTGAATGTTTCAAAATACCATGCTATACTCACAGATTTTCATATTGCAGGTAACTAAGAGGGCAGAAAGGAAACCACAGATAAAAGGATACTACATTACTACATAACTACATAGTTCCAACATAACTAGTATAGCACATGTCAGTAGGCCAGCTTGTGGAAATAGGAACTATCGTGCCTGTTCTTTGAGTTTTTGACAGATTATCGTGCCTGTTCTTTGAATTTTCTGCTCCAAAGTAAGCAGTAAATTAACAAAACTTGCAACTGAGACCAAATGAAACACAGTTTTATTTATTTTTTTCAAAAAATCACCTTTTGCCAAATAAGAGCTCAGCTTTGTGACACTGTTAACACAGTTTGTTTCTGACTGTTAAAAAAATATATAGGTATGAGATTGAAAAGAAGTAACAGTGCTAGCCAGCCCCTGGCTAAGGTGGCTGGATTGTCTTCCTATGAAAGACTTCTGCCAAGGGACCAGCAGTTGGCTCAATGGCTGTGTCGCTGGACTCCCATGTAGTCAACTGCAGTTTAAGTCCCTGACCCATTGGCTTAAACTCATGCCGGCACGTGTGCGTGCATGTCCAAGATCCCAAGAGGAGAATGGAGGAGAAAGGATTGTGGTGTGGCCATCCCCCTGGGGTGTGATTTCTCGCTTTCTGTCTGTGTCTCTCTATCTTTCTGGCGAGCACATGTGCCCTATAGCAAAAACCTCTCAAAAAAAAAGACGACTTCTGCTATACATTAAGGAGTTAGGCAGTTTCTGCTCTCCAGTAATTAGAGTTGAGCCAGTGATATCCAAAACACTTGATGTATGTTATATTACACTTACACTGACTTAACAAATTAAACATTTCAGAATACTGGGGAAGGAAAAGAACATTTATTGAATGTTTTCTGGGTACAGTCTAACATGATGTTACCCTTCTAGGATAAAAGAGGGACTCAGAGGAGACAATTAACTTGCAGGAGGTGGCAGAACTAATTAGAACTGCAATATATTAGAACTGTATTATAAATAAATGGGAGAAATTCTTTATTATAAGCTAAAATGTGGTATCTCTGTCAGTTGTTCCAAGGGAAAAATAACATTATCTTCTCTTTTCAGACTTCTTGACCACCACAGCCATGGAAGGATATGATAGGAGGCCAGTGGACATAACTCCTTTAGAACAAAGGAAATTAACATTTGATACACATGCATTGGTTCAAGATTTGGAAACTCATGGTGAGAAAAATGGGTTCCTCTTAGAAGAAGAAAATTTATAGTACTCATAATTAATTACCTAGTAAAGACAATATCCCAATTATGAATTAAGAGTGGCGACTTAAATAGAAGTGCCATCCATACAATGGAATATTTCATAGTCATTAAAAATTGTATTGCTTGGGGCTAGGCCCAAGATATAGTGGTTAAGGGAGCTGGATCCCACATAGTTGACTGCACAGCTTAAAAATATGTATGGGACTAGCCAATGGCATGATGGTTACATCGCTGGACTCCCACTTGAAGACCTGGCGGTTTAAAACAAACCAGGTGTGGGACCAGCAGTTAGCATAATGTTGCTGGACTCCCATGTAGCCAACTGCAGTTCACGTCCCGGACCCAGTGGCTTAAACTCACACCGGGTGCGTGTGCGTGCATGCCCAAGATCCCAAGAGGAGAATGGAGGAGAAGGGATTGCAGCATGGCCATTCCCCCTGGGGGGTGATTTCTCGCTATCTCTCTGTCTCTCTCTGTCTTTCTGGCGAGCATACCCACCGTATAGCAAAA